GGCCCAATTGGGGGAAGGGTCTTCAGGACCACCCCACCCATGTGCCTCACCTACCCGCCAGCAGCAGCGCCAGGAGGGCCAGCCGGGGGGCGGCGGGGGGCGCCCCCATCATCCACAGCCGGGACCCCAGCCCCCCCAAGCCGCCTGCCTGCCTCCCACCCCTCCTCGATCAGCGCCGCCGCCGCCGCCCCATCATCCGCGGCCGCCCGAGTGTGGCCAGCCGCCCGATAGAACTGCGGGGGGGGGGGTGGAGGAGAGGAGGAGGAGGAGGAGGGGCTGGGAGGGGAGGGGGCGGCGCTTGGGGAAGGGGAGGGGGAGGAGAAAGGGGAGGGGAGGGGGAGAGAATGATTGAAAGAGAGAGAGAGAGAGAGAGACCCCCGCAGTGGCTGGAGTAGCAGCAGCAGCAGCAGCCCCACCCACGCCCATCATCCCCGGCCAGCAGGAGATTAGAATAGAATAGAATAGAATAGAACAGAGTATAGAATAGAGTAGAATATACGATAGGCTAGGATAGGAAATAGAATACAATGGAGAATGGAATGGAATCGAATGGAATGGAATCGAATAGAATATAGGATATAGGATAGGATAGGATAGGAAATAGAATAGAATGCAGAATAGAATAGAATGGAATGGAATGAAATGAAATGGAATAGAATAGAATAGAATAGAATAGAATAGAATAGAATAGAATAATAGTATAGAACAGAACAGAGTATAGAATAGAGTAGAATATAGGCTAGGATAGAATGCAGAATAGAATGGAATGGAATGGAATAGAGAATAGAATAGAATAATAGTATAGAACAGAACAGAGTATAGAATAGAGTAGAATATAGGCTAGGATAGAATGTAGAATAGAATAGAATAGAATAGAATAGAATAGAATGCAGAATAGAATAGAATAGAATAGAATAGAATAGAATGCAGAATAGAATAGAATAATAGTATAGAACAGTATAGGATATAGGATAGGATAAGATAGGAAATAGAATAGAATGCAGAATAGAATAGAATGGAGTGAAATGAAATGAAATGGAATAGAATAGAATAGAATAGAATAGAATAATAGTATAGAACAGAACAGAGTATAGAATAGAGTAGAATATACGATAGGATAGGATAGAATAGGAAATAGAATAGAATGCAGAATAGAATGGAATGGAATGGAATAGAGAATAGAATAGAATAATAGTATAGAACAGAACAGAATATAGA